CGATGCAGCAACAAGATACACTTGGCATTACAACCTCAAGACGCGCGATCAAGCCTTCGACGCCTTCACAACATGGCTCCCCATCGCCGAACGGGAATCAGGAACCAAGCTCAAAAGCTTCCAGTCAGACGGTGCACTGGAATACCAGTCACAACGCTTCAGGACCTATCTGGCGGAAAGAGGAATCAAGCGCCTGGTGTCCCTACCATACGCTCACCAACAGCAGGGGGTCGCAGAACGCATGAACCGGACCTTGCAGACGACGATGCGAAAGCTGCTCCTGGGGATGAAACTGCCCAACACACTGTGGCCAGACGCGATGACACATGCAGTCCACCTGCACAACCTGTTGTCCTCGTCATCGCTCCCCAACAACGCATCACCGCACCTGCTGTGGACGGGAAAAAGGGGCAGCACAAAATTACTTCGAGTTTTCGGCTGCATGGTACAATACAGACCCCACACAGCTCGAGCAGGACGCTTCACTCAACGAGCTCGGTGGGGACTACACCTCGGCATCGCCAAACATTTTTACGCGTGGAAGATTCTCGACATACAAGACAAAAATACGGTGGCATCACGTGATGTTATCTTCTACGAGCGACTGACGCTGCAGCATTACCTGGACAACATTGCCAACTTAGACGACCCCACCGACGGCTTCGCGGGCCTTCGCTCCTTCGCTGACCATGCTGCCGAGGCTGACGCAGCAGAAGAAGACGTCCCTGGAGCCTCGGAGGCTGCCGGACCACTCCCCTACTGCTCCGTACCTGTTCCACTCGATGAAGATAATCCCCTCGATAGCAACAACCTCGACACCTTTTACCACTTCGCTGACCAAGGCTACGCTACACCACACCCCGTCGACTCGAACATTTCCGAACGCATCGGGCCAAACTTCTTACCCGATCCTGAAGACGGTGATGAAGCAGCTTATCCCGAGAATGAAAATTCCCCTCGACACACAGCCACGGGACTGCAGATCCTAGGACTATGGGTCTCCGTCCAGCACCCGCCGCCACCTTCTCCGCGCGAGCCGTCGACCCTGTCGCAGGCTCTGGGGGGGGAACATAAGGCGAAATGGAAGGAAGCAATGGAAAAAGAGTTAAAAGCTCTCCAAGACCGGAATACATGGAAGTTAGTACCGACAACCAACACCAACGGGAGGAACATTCTCTCGGGGAAATGGATGTACCGCATTAAGACCAACGCGGACGGCTCCATCGAACGTTTTAAAGCGCGATGGGTCGTACGAGGCTTCGACCAACGATACGGAACCGACTACACAGAAACCTTCGCCCCAGTCTCCCGTCACACCTCCCTGCGCATCCTACTCGCCGTCGCGGCCACGAAGAAACTACCACTACGGCAAATCGACGTCGCAAACGCCTTCTTGTACGCACCTGTGGATGCCGAAATCTTCGTCGAACAACCCCACGGATTCATCGACGACCCTTCAAAAGTATGCCAGCTGGAAAAATCCCTTTACGGGATCAAGCAAGCCCCACGGCTCTGGCAGCAGCACCTTCACGGCCGGCTCGCAAAAATCGGATTCCTACAACTGCCGCATGACCAAGGGATGTACCGACTGCAGAAGGGAAGAGAGTACGTCCTACTCATCGTCTACGTCGACGACCTGCTCTACATCGGCTCCACTACAGACATCGCTACCTGGTTCGAAGGGGAGCTGAAAGGGGACCTGACGCTCACGGTGTCCGACTCAGTGACCCAGTACTTGGGACTAAATATCATCGAAGACAACTCGGCGTTCTACCTACACGCTGGAAAGTACGCAGGCACTATCGCGAAGAAATTCGGACTAACACCGGCTACCGCCCCAACTCCCTACCACTACGGAAACAACAACAACGCCTCCGCAAAACTCCCCGCGAAGCAAATCCAGGAGTATCAACAGAAGCTCGGCTGCCTACTATTTGCAGCAGTAACCTGCCGACCTGACCTGTCCTATAGCGCAAGTCAACTGGCGACGCATCTGAAGCAACCGGAACAGGAGGATCTCGAGGAGCTCAACCGGGCACTACTCTACTTCGTCTCCACGCCGACGATCGGACTTACCTACAGCAAAGCGACAACACCGTCCGTACAACTACTCGGATACGTCGACGCCGACCACGCGGGAGATAGGGAAAATCGACGATCTAGGACGGGCTATATCTACCGACTAGAACCCATCGGAACTATCTCCTGGCAGTCGAGCAAGCAGGAGTTAATCGCACTATCCTCGGCTGAAGCAGAGTATATCGCCCTTTGTACTGCGACCAAGGAAGGACTCTACCTACGGGAGTTACTCGAAGAAGCGAAGATCGCGACCCTGCCCGCCTTCTCACTCCTCTGCGACAACCAATCTGCGATCAAAATCGCGAACAAGGACGGCTTCGCCAACCGAACCAAGCACATCGCCCTGCGGTACTTCTTCGTCAAGGATGAAATCGCGAAGGGGAGACTTCAACTCAGTTACTGCCCGACGACAGAAATGGCCGCAGATTATCTGACGAAGAAATTGGCGAAAGCAAAATTCGACTACTGCATGCTCCTAACCGGGCAAACAAACGTCACCCGATCTGAACACTCCAGCACTCCAGAAACGAAGGGGAGTGTTGGAAATATCTCAAGGACTTAAGCGTTTCTGAAGTGTAACACTGTACTCGAGGAAGATTACAGGGGAGCACGCGAGTCAACGGAGGTTACACGAGGGGGCGGACAAAGAAAACGAAAGGACTCGAAAGGTCGCAACTGGAGGTTGCGACTGACCGTTACAACATCACGGATGGTAACCGAAGCGGCAATCGAGTCGCTGTGCGACTCGATAAACCGTTCCTGTAACTGTATTCTACAACTGCTTTCATATCTTCTATATATTGCTGTATGCTTGTTTCTTTAATCAATCACTTGTTCTCACATACTAGTACAAGGGTTCAACTGCCTCAACTTCCGCTGCACTACTCCAAGTCTCAAGTCCCTACAGCTGGGACTTAGTCTCTGCAAAAGATCCTAAGGGCTTTTCTCAGCCCAACATCGCCATTGACCTCCGCGCTACTCAGACAGTTCCATTCATAACATTGACTGTGATGCAGTAGACGGATCAAGTGTACAGGTGGCCCCATTTCGACCATTTCGGCGGTGGTAAGGGCGAGTCCAAAAAGTTCGTTTTCGCAAAATACCATACCCAACCATTCTAGACTAGTACTCGACCGCTTTAAACGTAACAAAAGCTACTCCACCGTAATCAGACGTACTATTTGGACCCGCCCTAAACGACAATTTCGATTCGCACACATCCTGTGTGTGGACATGTCGGTCGTGTTTCATAACCGCCAGACCCGTGACGGTGGCAAGGCCAATGAGAACTGCTTTACACCCAATCATATCTCAAAAGTTTGAGATGGAGGTTCTGTAGCGAGACTAAAGAGAGTTCTTTCATGGGTGTCACTTAGGGCAGTGTCTGCATATCAGCACAGACAAGAAGCATGGAATTCTTAAAATGTTTAAAATGGTCCTGGTGGAATGGTACGGAACCGACCAGAGAGCGACGGAGGTTTGCGATGAGTGAAGAGGAGAATTGCAACCGCTAAGTACATTCCGAATGAATCAATGTTTTAGAATCGGGCTTCCGTAAGTTGAACCCGTCAGAATAGTGAAACAGCATACACCGAGGGGGGCTGGTCATGAGTGCAATACTCACGGGCAACCTTGTCGTTCTTGACCAGGGTGTACAAACGAAGCTCGTCAGAGTCGCACAAGATTTTAGGGTGCCGGACATTCAATCGGTCAAGTATTTCGCAATCCCTCGCCACGGGAAAATGAGGCTTTCGCACGAGCACAAGGCGAATTGGGTGGGTATTTGTGGGGGGGGCTTGTGTGGCGATGTTTGTTTCCAGTGTGAGACTTTTGTGAAGCGATTAGGCGATGGCGGTGCACAGTTCCGTGGCGACGAAACCTCGTCGGTAACAACTTGTCCCTTGCTCTACGTTGGTCGCAGACGCAATCATGAGTGACTCAAACGGATCTCCCATTTCTCGTATATCGAAAACTTTGGGAACGAATTCTAATTGGGCGTTAGTTTGAGCTGTGATAAGGCTGGGTATCGACTGTAGTCTGGTTTGGCTGGGTCTCTTCCCTTGCTCGCCCCATGGAGCGTCTGGCTGGTCTCCTCCTGGGGATTGGTGGCCCGTTCATTTGTTGTCATCCCTCCTTCCCTCCCCCTCCAAATGTACAGCAAACCACCGCGTTGACTGAACAAGCAGGGTACAGACAGAACTGTACAGCATGTACAGTTTGAGCATGGATGGATGGATGTGGTGTGATGCAGAAGGGCAGGGCAGAGGAGCGAGCAGCATTAGGGCGGGTCTAAATAGTTCATCCTCTATTCATTTGGTGAAAAGTAACCCGATTTTAACCACGCGCTGCTTTCGCGAGGACAGGTGCGCGAATTATCCGTAACTCGGGACGGTCGAAGCATGTGAAGGTACATGTACCCCAGTCAAGATCCGTTTACGATTCGGGTAACGGTAGGTGTGCGTTTCGCAGGTGGACACGATTGGCAATTTAGGGTTTCGCCAAGGCGGGCTTGACGAGAACAAGGCGAATTCACGAAAACTTGGCGTGGCGCAACGCCAAATCGCAAATACCAACCAGCCCAGCACGAAAGATCTGTCTCGCAGATTCAGCATTTGGTAACTGCGATTTGGGGCGTCTGAGGCGAACCGTTTTCCTGTGAGGCACCCAGTTGACGCCAGTCTATATTTTCGTTCGCAATGTGGGACGCGGTTTCGGGGAAAACGATTTCGGGATCGTTTTCAAGTTTTGTACCCGAAATCGTAAAAACGTGTCTAAAATCCCCAATTGAACTATTTGGACCCGCCCTTAGAGGTTTTTGATGGTACGTAGTGCTCTTGTGCTGGTCCTCCCCTTCCCCCTCCTCCCCCCCCCAGCATCTCATGAATGATGCAAGAAAGCCTTTCGAGAACTTCTACACTACCTACTAACCCTAGGATGTGTGCTACTGTACTACCATTTTCTCATGCCTTTTCTAGTCCAAAATTCGTCCATTCATGGCGTCTCTACAGGTAAATTCTGCAGGCGCGCACAGCCGGAGCCCGCTCTCTACGAACCACCACTCCACACACCCGCCTCACCCATCCGCTCCATTCCCTTCAATCCCTTCCCCCGCTTCCTCGTCGCCCAATCACCATCACCTTCGCGGCATGCTGACTCAGCAGCAGCTCGTGTCGCTGCTCCAACAATCGACGGAATCCGAAGCCCTCCCGCCCTCATTCCGCCGCTACCCGCTCTCCTACCTCCGCACTCAGGGAATTTCCGTTCCAGGCGATTTCTTCTGCCCTCTCTCCCTGGACATAATGTGCGACCCCGTTATAATCGCATCCGGTCAGACGTTCGAGCGCGCCGAGATTGACCGGTGGTTCGCGGAGGGGAAGCGCGTGTGTCCGGTCACAAGGCAGCCGCTCGAAAATCTCACCATCCTGCCCAACAACTCCCTCCGCAGCGTCATTTCCGCGTGGTGCCTCGGCAACGGAATCAGGCTCGGCACCGACGAACGTACCAACCCTACCGACGCACCTGCCGAACCGGATCGCCGAGCGTCGCTCCACGTCGACCCGTCGGCGTCTCCAAATCTAAGGAGCCATTCCAGCCGCGAAGCGCGCCGGCAGTCCAGCGGGTCGTACGATCAGAGCCCGTCCGCGTCGCCCCGCTGCCCCATTTGGCCCGTGTCGGCCTCGGTATCCTCCCAGTCCCCCTCCGCATCTCCCGGTTACACGCCTACTAGGAGCACCGGCAGTCCCGTTCCGCGCCGCGACTGGAACAAGTACCCCGGGAGGGACGAGTGGAGCGGCCCGCAGCCGCGGCGCGACGAGTGGTCCGGGCCGCAGTCGGTCGAGTTTGCGATGCAAGCCGGCCTGGCGTCGCACGCGGAATCGTCGCACGCGCAGACGTCGCATGCGGAGGCGTCGCGCGGTCACGGCGCGGAAGGAGCGGCGTCGCAGGGGAGAGACGGCAGCGGCGGCTGCGGCGGAGGAGGAGCGAGGGGGGGGTCGAATCGCGCGCCGCTACCCCTGGGCTCGCAGTCCATGCGCTACGACTACCCCGACCACGCGGCGATGCGGGCCGCGCAGTCGCATTCCCTAATCTCCTGGGACGACGACGGAGATCAATCGGACGGTCCCAATCGACATCATCCGACGGCCATGAACCCCGCTCTAGCGTACATGACTCCCACGCACCCCGTTGCGGCCGTCTACGTCACTAACGGTTCCGGCAGCCCGACGGTTAGCCGGTTCTCCTCGCGCGACATGTACCTCACATTCGCGCGTTCGTCCACCTGCGACTCGAGCAGCAACAGCCGGTCGTTACTTTTAGGCCGGCAGCACGGGACGGCGCCGCCGGAGAGGGACAGCGATCCCAGCGATGGTGGTGGTGTTGGTGGCGGTGAGCGCGTGCTCACTCGTGGCGGAAATTATGCGGCTGCGCGGAGCCAGAGCCACAAGGAGCGGGCGCCGGGGGGAGGCCGCGCGGGGATGGTACGCACTGAGGAGGAGGAGCACGCGCGGCTGCGCATACCGGATCTCGTGCGCCAGATGCAGGGCGTGGGCGCGGGCCGGGGACTGGGGGGCGGCGAGGCGCTGCTGGTGCGCGAGCGGCAGCGCGAGGCGGCGGAAGAGCTCCGCCTGATGGTGAAGGACTCCCGCGCGAACCGCGAGAGCATCGTCGCGGCGGGCGGAGGCGTGCTCTCCGTGTTGATTAATCTCTTCTGGAGCGACGACGAGGCGACGGTCGAGCACGCTGTCACGGCGACGCTTAATCTGTCGCTAACGTCGTCGTCGCACGCGCCGCTGATTGGCCAGGGCGTCGTTCCCGCGCTCGTCGCGGCGCTCTCTGCCGGCGCTGCCGCGTCGTGCTGCTCGTCCCCCGTCGCGTCGCCGAGCGGCGTAACGTCTAGCTCGAGGGGGCAGCAGTGGGGGGGGGACCTGGCCGGAGTAGGCGCGATGGCGGGCGGAAACGAAATCGATGGGGTGAGAATGGCGGTTTCGCAGCAGGCGCAGGAAAACGCAGCGGCTGCGCTATTCGCGATAACGTCTTCGTCGGATGCGAATAAGTTACTCGTCGGTTCGACGCCGGGAGCCATCGCAGGGCTTTCGGCGATGCTTTCTCCGCAGCCGTGGTCGCTTCGCGGGCGAAAAGACGCGGCCTTGGCTTTATTTAATCTATCCTTATCGGAAAAGAACCGTCCGTCGCTAATTTCCTCGGGTGTAGTTCCGAAGTTACTTGCCATGTTACAAGAATACGGCTCGGGATTGGAGGAAAAAGCCACAGCAGTCCTTGTTAACATCGCGAAATCGCCGGCGGGCTGCGCGGCGATTCAGATTGCGGGGGGGATTGCTCCGCTGGTGGAAGCGCTGGAGAGCGGATCCGCGCGCGGAAAGGAGGACGCGGTCGCGGCGCTGCTGATGCTGGCGGAAGACGAGAGCCGGCGGGACGAGATTCTCGAGGAGGGCGTCATGCCCACGCTGGTTGCTCTGCAGCAATCGGGCACTCCGCGCTCGCGCGTCAAGGTGAGAATCATTCTATCCGCGCTATAAGCACCTGCTTTGTGGGGAGTGATTTTGCTGTTTGTTTCAAAGGGGGGAATGAAGGTCGCAGATGTTGCCTCCGCTTCTTGTCTCCCCTGAGTTTGGATAAACGGGGGAGGAGAGGGATTTTTTTACGACTGGGACGTCAACTAGCCACCCCCCTTTATTCCCTCCCTAAATTCGTGTCATCAGCCGCTCGCTGGGTGAAGGTCGTATCGTAGCATGTCATTAGATAAGCCCTGAGAAAATCATGCAGGGATGTTCCCCTCATGGGCAACCCCGAAATTCAAATCTTGCCAACCACTTTCGGTCACATATGGCAACGGGCGCGGAACCTGTAATGAATCAGGACCCGCGGGCAGGTAGGAAAGAAGAGGAGGGTACTTTGGACTGCTTCGGCACCCAGTGCAGTGTGACACTGATAGAAACCCTAAAGTCTTATTAATCCTCGATAAATTCGGGAAATGTTTTGTGGGGAAAAGCGTCTGCCTGTTGGTTCTATTTGTTCTTGTCTAGAAAAATAGCTACCCTTCAGAGAAGCATCCTGGTTTGGGGAGGGGTGTGGTCTGATTTGGAGGAAGGTGGTATCAGGGTGAGTGAGGGGGTGCTGATGGAGTAGGGGCTTGTGGGATGGATGGACTGGGGAAAGATAGCTGGGTTATTGGATAGAGGGAGTGTCGATGGAGTGTGGGATGGGATGGACAGGGGGATTGATGGAGTAGCGGCCTTCAACCCCATGGTGATTTGGTGTGATGGGTGTACAAGGGAGGAGCAGAGACAGGGTTGGGATTTAACGATGGGTTTGGTTCTTGAGTATTGTGTCTAGTATTGAAGAGTGTGATGTTGAGACATGGGTGCACATGGAGGAGCACAGAGAGACATACAATGTTCACTCCAATTTGGATGATATAGTGAATTTCAAACCTCACTTGTCATTGGCATATAGATTCCTCACCACTTCCTCTCATGTCTGTAAGATTCTCTGATAACTTGTTACTCTTTCTTCCGGTCTTGTTCAATCTTGTATCCTTATGTGGAGATTTTTCCTCATGCTTCCATGGTATTGCTTACAGCCTCATGATTCTTCAACCCCATTTGGCTACTCCAAGCACCTCACTCTTCACCATCTGCCCCACATGCCGCTCGTCTGCTGGCAACTCTTCCATTCCACTTCCCTAGCTTATTTTCACTGAACTATTTGTTTTCCCCCTTCCCCTCCACCCAACCCCTTGCCCTGTGTTTTGTTGCCTTCCCCCAGGCTGCTCGCCTACTGGCTATCTTCCGTTCTAAGAAATGAAAATAGCCTGCACTGTGTCGGCTTGGCTGGATCTCAGGTTTGCATGTTAATTATGACATGCTCAAGTTGCAGGGTTGAGTGTGAGTGTAGCTCAATGGGCTGGCTGAATATTGTGTGAATATGTTTAGGCACTGCCGTGCCGACCAGCATGGGTGGAACAGCCTTTGACTGCTGGGAAGGGAAGGTCGTGGTGAGCTGAGGTGTAGGAGAGGTGGAATAACAACCAGTTCGCCAGTGGCTGAATGAGTGAGCCACTATGGCCATCAGACCACACGTGTTGCACGCCCTCGAGCCACTGACACTGCAAGAAGGTTTGCAATTGCAGATACAGATTTTGTGCGGTGCCTCGGAATAGAGGACCCGCTATTTTTCTAAGTTCATTTGTAAGAAGCGTTGCACTGCAGTTTCTGTAACGGGCGTTGCTCGATTCATTTTCCCACACGATCTGGACTGCCACACGGCACAGACGGATTGGACAAAGGCAAGAACGGATAAGGAGGGGAATGAGTAGGATGGAAGTGTGGGTGGACAAACCTTCTCGCTGTGACTCCTCTCCCCTTCAGATTTCCCTCGCGACGCATTGCGACCCCAGTGTCTGGCTACCACCTCGGTACTCGGTACTGCCATAGTCTCTCAATGTTGCTGAACCACCTTATCCGGCGCGAGTTCCGTTCGGTTCGGTTTTGACGACGTCAGATAATAACCAGAAGTCCAGCCGGTAATTCGTGACAGGCCAAACTAGCTGGACGCCTCGTCTCGCCACGTCCGTACCTAGCAGGATCGCTTCTTAGCCATCGGGCACGCTTTGCCCAGTCGGCTATGCTGTCCTTCTCAGCTCGGGCCCACTTGGTACCCTTGCCTTTTACCGAGGGTGTGACTTTAGAGGTGACTCAGAAGTTACCAGTCTTGCCTCTTACCGCGGGGTGCATCTGTTGAGTCGAACCCTTCCCTAGGTAACGTCGGTGGCCTCCCCCCGTACTCATTCATCACGGGGAGGAACCCTAATCGTTCTGTACCACGGCTGAGTTACATCCAGTTGCTTACGGGCACATGAAGATAAAACGACTATAAAGTAGCAAAACACGCATCTGCATGAACAGACAAATTCAGGGGTAGGAAGACTGGCAAGGCACGGTTGTAGCTTGCCAGCATTCCTGCCTCTAATCAGAAACCCTAAAACCAATGGCTCCAACACCATGACACTAAGGCTGCCCCACGGACACCGGCCAAGCCCGTACCGATATGAAAGCTATCAGTCGGTAAGGCCATTCTCAAAAGCTCGCAGTGAGAAATCAAGCAGCGGCAGCAGCGGGCATTTTGACCCCCATGAGCTGTCCACCCCAGGTCGCCTCTGATGCGCTGCTACCAGCCAGCACGGCGTATCCGGTCACTGTGCTGTTCACTCCGCTGCTCGCCCCTGCACCTTGGAAACCACCTGACATTCCACCTGCAGGTGGCTGCTGTTGCTGCCCCCCCTGCTGTGCACCCCCCTGCTTGGCGGGGCCCAGCGCGCGCAGCAGCAACCTGCCCACACCCAGCCCCATGCGCCTTCCGCCCTGCGCCTTTCCCGCACCTCCCGTGCTGCTTCCGCCGCCGCCGCGCCCGCCACCTCGCGGAACCGTCGCGTTGGGGAGAACGGTGAGGAGCGCCTCGACGGTGGCGGCGTCCGCATTCTCGAGAAACGCGTCGAGGCGCGCTTCCGCGTGCAGCAGCCACCAGCCCGCGCGCTGCTGCCAGTCAGCGGCGGAGAAGGGGAGCGCGAGAGCGGTGGAAGCGGCGGAGTCGCAGACTGCGCCTTGCACGATCGCGAGCGAGTTGGGCGGGCTGCCCGCGGCGTCGACTAGCAGAGCATCGACGAGGAGGTTGTAGTTTCCGCTGGCGTTCCTGCGAAACGAAAGAAAAATGAGTGAGAGGGGGGTTGCGGGAAAAAGCGGGGTAGGGTCGCGCCGGAAATCCTACTACTGCGTTTTCCTCTCACGGATGATGTAAAATCCGTGTGAGAATTACTACTTACTTGAAAATGGCGAGGTGAAAGCGGCCATCAAGGACCTTCTGGTCTGCGGAGCAGTTGGCCAATCGCGCGCCAACATCAGCCGTCAGGTTCCCGACCACCGTCAGATTAAGTGGGGGCCCACGCGGCTCACCACCAGGCGTCCCTGAGGGCCCGCCAGGTCCTCCAGGTGCGCCGCCGGGCCCTCCGCGCGCGCCCCCGGGCCCCTGACCTCCGGGACGGCTTCCGCCAGGCGGACCACGCTGCGCCAAGGCGGAGGAGGCTGCGAGGAGGAGGATGCACGCGAGGAACAGCCTGCTGAGAGCCATGCTAGCTGAGGGTGGGAGAGAATGGAGTGACGCTTGTTGATGATCCCGAGTCTGACTCTTGGGGACTCGGAGGAGCCAGGAACGGCTAATTGTCGGAAGACTTGTGGACCGAGCGGATGACTGATTGTAGGAAGGATGGAAATGTGGAAGGAATGGATGGCTATTTATTGATGCTGGTTTTTCCGCTCCAAACGGGTTACTTCTCGAGGCGCGAGGTAAGTGTATCAGTCGAAGTGCCGAACCGATGAGGCATCGTTGACTGGGTAGGTGCGGAATTTCTACCCGCAGCATGATTGGCTTCCGCAGATTCGCTGAGCCTATTGTGAAGGTTTGGAAAGAAGCCTCACTAATCGATGTTGAAATTTCGTGACCAAAGCAACAGGTGGGTCAACGAGAAAGTGGATGGAGGACCAAAGCGAGTCAAGACGTGTACCCATTATATGCTGAACGTGCAGCCTCATGAAACGAAAATACAAGTACATGTAATGTAAGGTATTAAAGGCAGGCCTACATCAGTAACAAATAATCCAGCACGACCATCACTTTTGCATTATTCCACATTAGGTGTGCTTCAGACGTGCCTTCAACTGGGCACATCCTGCTCAAAGAACGTTTACATAAGTCGGGATGGGACTACAGTTCAGTTCATCCAAGCCCTCTCCCCCATCCCAGGGAGGGCTGTGAGCGCCACCAGCAGCAGCCTCACTTCATTCACTCCCTTCAAAGCCTCGTTCGCTGCTGCTTCCACCTCCCCCACCTCTCCCATACCCGGCCATAACTATGATGCTACGATATTTCTAGACACTTGAGTGCCACCAGCAGCAGCCGGTGAGTGAACCCCACTCGTGTGTGTTGAGCCACCACCAGACGAGTGGCTCACACCACTCACTTTGCACCCATAGCGACATCTCCCGCCACTGCTTCCACCTCCCTACCCAGCCAAAACTCTGATGCTCTCTCTAGACATGTAACTGCCACCAGCAGCAGCAGCAGCAGCGGGTGAGCAACCCCAACCCACTCGTGTGTGTCAAGCCTCTGCTCACGCCCCTCACTCTGCACCCATAGCCGCCTCTCCCGCCTCTGCTCCCACCTCCCCCATCACTTCTACCATACCCGGTTGTCGCACCGACGCTCCGTCTAGAGACCTAAATGCAACCAGCACCAGCCGGTGAGCCAACCTCACATGTGTGTGTGAACCTCTGCGGCGCCACTCACTGTGCACCCATAGCCGCCTCTCTTGCCACTGCTTCCACCTCCCCCATCACTTCCTCCATACCCGGCCGTCGCTCCGACGATCTCTCCAGACACTTGAGTGCCACCACCACCAGCCGCTGTGCCAACCGTACGTCCCACTCCCCTGCGGATGGGTCCAACTGGCCCATGCTGCTGCTGCTGCTGCTGCTGCTGCTGCTGCTGCTGTTGCTTGTTTCATTGCTGCTCATGCCGCCACTGCCACTGCCACTGCCGCTGACGCCGCCGCCGCTGCTGCCGCTTCCCTTCTCCGTAATAACAGCAGCAGCATGGGCAGGGCTCCTCAGGACGTCAGAAGGCAGCGAGCTGAGATACCTATGAACATCCCTAGCAGCAGGGAAGCGGGTCAGCAGCAGCAGCAGCACCACCCCGTACGCATACACATCCGACTTAATCGTCAGCTCCCCCGACTCCACCGCCTCTGGGTCGATAAACCCGATGGTTCCGCGCACCTTCCTGGTAAACACGACATTGGAGGACGGAACGACGCAGGAAAGGCCCACGTCAGCAACCTTGCTGGTGCGCGATTGGTCGAGGAGGACGTTGTCGGGCTTTAAGTCGCGGTGGAGTATGGGCGGCTGAGATTGGTGCAGGCAGAGCAGCGCCGAGGCGATTTCTGCTGCGATGCGCATGCGATCCCGCCAGGTGAGGCGGAGGGGGAGAGGGAATGGGGGGGGAGGTGAGGGGCAGGCGGGTGATGCTGCTCCTGCAGCGTCTTTGGACACTGCAGCCACTGCTGCTGATTGTGCTACTCCTAGCTCTGCTGCTGCTGCTGCCGCGGCTGCTTCTGCTTCCCCCTGCTTGGCCCGTAGCAGCTGGTCCTGCAAACTTCCCCCCCCCATGAACTCATACACAAGGGACAGGTCGTGGTCGCACCGCCCCACCAGGCGCACTATGTGCGGGTGCCGCACTCGCAGCAGGATATCCACTTCCCTGACGAACGCCTCTATGCCCTGATTGCTAGATGACCGGTGCACCTTCACAGCCACCTCCATTCCCTGGGTGTCGGCCTTTCGACTATTGTTACCATCCATACAGCTGCTGCTACTATGGTTACCACCACCACAACCAGCAGCACCACCACCACCGCCACCACTATTTTTCTCTTCAGCAGCAGCTGCGTCCTCGCCAGTGCCAGGTGGAGTGCCGTGATTGGACGGCTCCAGCAGGCCGCGGTACACAGGCCCGTACGCCCCGCTTCCAAGAAAGTTCGCCTCGGCAAAGCCGTTTGTGATTGTGGCTAGGTCAGCAGGGGAGAAGAGCAGGCAGGGGGGAGGGGACGGGGCCGAGGAGGAAGAGGAAACACCACTATTTTTCTCTTCAGCAGCAGCAGGCGTTGCTGCGTCGTGAAGGGAAGTCCCACTGCTCCCATTCTGCAGGTGCAGCGCTTGTTGCATTCCCCACACGCCCTTGCCCTCCTGCCGCCCCTGCTGCTGCTGCTGCTGCTGCTGCTGCTGCTGCTGCTGCTGCTGCTGCTGCTGCTGCTGCTGTCTCTCACCCCCCAAGGACCGCTGCACGCTGTGGCTGCTCCTTCTCTGCCTCTCCCCTTCCACGTCCTCCCGCCCTGTGCCGCCCTCCTCCCCACTTCTCTCCTCCCGCCCCTCGCTCTCCCCGGTAAAGACTGAGAAGGAGACACGGCGGAGGCTTTTCCCCAGCAGGGAAGACTCGAGACTGCCCCCCTGCTGCTGCTGCTGCTGCCAGGGGGGATGAATCTGCTCCTGCTGCTGCTGCTGCTGTTGCTGCTGTTGCTCCTGCTGCTGCTGTCGCTGCTGTTGCCCCGAATGTAACCCTGATACATTCGCTGCTGCGCTGTCTGCTGACCCGTCTTCTGCAGTCGCCCGATCAAAAATGCTTCTGCTGCTGCTGGTGCTGTTGGTTTCTGACCCCCATGCTGACCCCCCCCCACCACCCCCTGCCCCCGCTTCCTCCCTGTGCAGGCGCTGCGCCAGCTCTTCCATCTCCTTGCAGAGAAAGCCGTTTAAGTGCATGCTCGTGCGCGAGGGCTGCCGAGTGGGAAGGGAAAAGGGAGAGAGGGGAAAAAGGGCAGGTAGTGGGGGCTGAGGCTATATCCGCAGCGTCTCTGTGCAGGCGCTGTGCCAATTCCTCCATTTCCTTTCAGAGAAAGCCGTTCAGGAGCCTGCTCGTGCAGAGGGGCTGAGAGGGGAGGGAGGTAGGGAGGGAGGGGCCTGCGCAGCCAAAGACACTCACAGTGGCGCCAGACGACCAGCTGTTAGTTGACCCACCACAGCGACCCCCAGCACCAGATCATCTGCGAGCCAGTCGTCAACATTCTCCTCGTCCCAACCCACTGCTTGCTGCTCCCCTTACACTCACGTATCGCCACGCTCCATACACTCACACCTCTCCACCAACCCAACCACACTCACACCTCTCCACCCACCCACACACACTCATACCTCTCCACCCACCCACACACACTCACACCTCTCCACCCACCCACACACACTTACATCTCTCCACCCACGCACACACACTCACACTCCACCCACCCACTCACCGTAGCGCCAGACGGCCAGCTGTTGATGGAGATGCCTCTGGCAGCCACCACAGCCGCCCCCAGCCCCGAGCCACCTGCTAACGATTCTCCCATCTTCTTCTCTTCCCCGACAGTCGTAATCCTCACACACACACCCACACCACACACTCACATGAAAAGCATTCACCAGGGTGCCAGAGGACCAGCTGCTAGTTGAAATGCGACGCGCAGGTGACTTTTGAGTCGACTCAACAGCCATACCTCACACACGCACGACCACTCCATACCCTCACATAAAAAGCACTTGCTATGGCGCCAGACGACCAGCTGTTAGTAGAAATGCGCCTCACAGCCACCACAGCCGTGCCCAGCCCCAGATCATCCGCCAGCCAGTCAGCCACGCCTCCTCGTTTCCCCAACAGTCACGCCTCGCTCATTCACATAAAAGACACTCACCGTGGCGCCAGACGACCAGCTACTCATAAACGACACTCCACTCAACGAAACTAACCTTCACAGGTGTCACTACATAGTTGCTGCCACGTATTGCCAACATGACACCTAACTGGTGTTCCATTGCACTCACCGTAGCGCCAGACGACCAGCTATTCATCGAAATCTGCCGGGCAGCCACCACAGCCGCCCCAGCCACAGGTCATCCGCCAGCCATCCTCCTCGTACCATTCCACCAGCCCTAACACCAGTCACAACCCACCCACCCACCCACCCACTCACCATGGCGCCAGACGACCAGCTATTCATAGAAATCCGTCGGGCAGCCACCACAGCCGCCCCCAGCCCCAAGTCGTCCCCCAGCCAGTCATCCCCATCCTCCTCGCCCTCCCCCAGGGCCTCCTGCAACCGCCGCCTCGCCATCTCCGCCGCTGTCAACCCCCCCTCCTCACCACCCTCCTCGCCCCCCACCAGGGCCTCCTGCAGCCGCCGCCTCGCCAACTCTGCTGCGGACAATTCCCCCCCCTCCGTATTTCCCTCCCCATCCCCATCGGCCAACAGGCCCAACGCCTCCTGCAACAGCCTCCGAGTCATCTCTTGTGCTGTCGATTTCTCCTCCTGTTCATCCCCATCCTTCTCCCCATCCCTCTCCCCATCCCTCTCCCCATCTCTGCAAATGCCTGCTGCACCCACTGCCCCCTGGAACCGTCTCCGAGCCTGCTCTTCCGCTCCTGCAGTGACTGCTACAGTGCTCCCACGCAGGTGCAGGGGAAAGCCTCCAATGACGGCTCCCCTGCTGCTGCTGCTGCTGGAGCTGGTGCTGGTGCTGGTGCTGGTGGTTCCACTACTGACAGCGGCCCAGGGGTTGGAAAAGACCGCTTCTTGCGTTGCACAGAGGGAGGTGCGCCGAGGAGGAATGCACTGCTCGGGCGACTGGGGGGGTTGAGGGGGGGAGAGGAGAAGGAAACAAGTCAAGAAAGCTCTGCCTTGCTAGTGCTTCTTGCGGCTCACAGAGGGAGGCGCGGCAAGGAATGCACTGCTTGGGAGGCTTGGGGGGAGTGGGGGTGTGGGTGGGGGGCGGGAGAGGAGAGTCAAGAAAGGTCTGCTAGTGCTGCTGCTGCTGCTGCTGCTAATGCTGGTGGTGGGGGGTGACTGACAGGGGGAGAGCGAGAGGGACAGGGACGAGGGCCTAATAGCAAGCACCCCTTGAGGGACAGGGACGAGGGTACGGGCTGCTTGCCGATGGCTGCTGCACAGAGAGAGACGTACCAAGGCAGTTGGACTCCTCTTTGGGGCGGTGGGGAGTTGGGGTGGTGGGGGAGTGGCGGGGTGGGGGAGTGAGTTGGTGGGGGAGTGGGGGAGTGGGGGAGTGGGGGTTTGGGGAGACACAGGAAGGGCCAGGGAGGAAAGTAGAGGGAGGGAGGAAAGAGAGGACGAGACGGAAAGAAACTTAAGCTAGTGAAGGCCCGCAGGTCTCGCTTGATCTCACCTGTGCAGCAATGTCTGGGAAGCTTCGCGCCTTCTTCATCCCCCTGTCGCCCTCCCCCACACCCACCTCTCCTCTCCTACACTCTCCCCCCGCCCCATCCTCCCCTTCCCCGCCATCCCCCCCCCATCCCCCCCCCCATCCCCCCCCCATCCCCCCCGCCATCCCCCCCCCATCCCCCCCGCCATCCCCCCCCCATCCCCCCCCCATCCCCCCCGCCATCCCCCCATTCCAGCTGCATGGCAGCAGCGGCCATCATGAGCTCTTCAAAGGCCTGCACCCTTCTCGCCCCACTCCCCTTCTCCCTGCTCTGTATCCCGCTCTTGCCCTCTGCTCCTTCCCCTCCTGCCTCTCCTTTCCCCCCTTCCCCTCCCGTCCCTCCTCCACCTCCTGCCTCTCCCTTCCCTACCTTCCCTTCCTTCCCTGCCTTCTCCCCACTCCTTCCTCGCCCCGCTCCCTCTCCTCCCTCGCCCCCCTCCCACCCTCGCCGTTTCTCGTGCCCTATCTTCCGTCCATGCGCCCACTGCTTTCTCCACGAGCCCACAACCGCCTCCGCTTTGCTCTCAGCCTTCACCTCCACCTGCTGTTTCTCTACCTGCCGCCCCTCTGCCTGCTGCTCGTCAGACTGTCGACAGTCCTCCAGAACAACGGGCAACACGAGAGACCCAGCACTCCCCACCCGCCCCACGCGCCCCACGCCCCCCGCGCCCCCTACTCCCCCCGCGCCTCTCAAGTCCCTCCGCAGCTGCTGCTTCCTCAGCGCGCGGAAGAACATGCCTGCTTTCACCACGTCCCGCCCCTGCTGCTGCGCCATCGCCACCGCCATCACCCCCCCCAGGACCTGCCCCCCTGCCTCACCCGCTGCCGCCCTCCCGCGCCCAACACTACCTCCTCCCTCCAACACCAGCACTACCTCGTCTTTCCCTCCAGCTCCTGCTTCTCTACTCCCTCCGCTGCTTGCCTCGCCATCCCGGTGCTCCCGAACGCCCTCACCTCTAGCACCGGGCGGACAGGGGGCGTCTGAAGCAAGCAGGGGGTTGCAGCGCCCACTCGTAGCTGTCACCCCGCCTCCGCCCCCTTCCAGCTGGCCTTCCCAGTCGGCAAAATCGATTCTGTCCAGACTGCTGCTCCTGCTGAGGCCTCTCTGTCGGTTCCTCCCAGCAGTCCGAGCACCAGAAGCAGCAGTAGCACCACCACCACCAGCACGAGCGGACCCTGCTGCTGGCACTTCTGCTGCCAAAACCCTTGAGTCCAACCCCACGCCTGTGCTGTTTTCATCTGAAGTACCACCTGAGCCCAGGTGCTCCGAGCCTCCCTGGAAGGAAGGGAATCTGATGAGAGAACCTGGGGCGTCTGAGACGGTGGTATGGACGGCAGGATCACTAGGCGCGTCTAATATAAGAGAGTCTGAAGCGTCTAAGATGGTGGGAAGCAGGGAGGCGAAGGGGATCACGGCAGAGCCTGCAGGGCCTGCAGCCTTGCTTATAGTAGAGCTGCTGCTGCTGCTGCTGGCAGTTCCAATAGGGGCGGCGCTGGTGCCCGTGGTGGTGGTGCTTCCGATGCTTCTGCTTCTGCTACTGCTGCTGCTGCTGCTGCCGCTGCTGCTGCTGCTGCTACTGCTACTGGCGGCGGTGGTGCTGGTGCTGCTGGTAGTGTTGCCTGGCTCAGCACTCTGAACGTACCGGCGTTGGAGTGGTGGTGTGAGCGTGGGCCTCCGCACCTGCAGCAGCTGCTGCTGCAGGGACGGCAGGGGCGCACGTTCCTTGAAGCTTCTTTGCTTCGCCTGCTCGTGCCACGGATGGCGAGTCAGCTCGTAGCGAGTCTGCTCGGATGAGGGGGTGGAGGAGGAGGAGGAAGAGGAAGAGGAGGTGCTGCTGCTGCTGCTGCTACCACTGGCACCGGTACTGCCACTGCCACTGCTACTGCTACTGCCACTGCTACGACTGTTCCTGCTAACGCTGCTTTCGCCACTGCTCATACTCCACCTGCTCCCCCCGCCACTTGCCCCATCGTCTGTGCTAAAGCTGCATCGCTGCACCTCCCCAATCTCCCCCCCGTTCTCCCCCCCATTTTCCCCCCCATTCTCTCCCGCATTCTCCCCCCCATTTCCTCCCCCATTCACCCCCCCATTCACCCTCCCGCTCTCCCCCCCCTCCGCACTAGGCCCGTTCTCGTCTATCCCTGTCAGCGAGCCGTTCCGCGAGTGAGTATTCCACGGTGTGATTGTAGCGAGCTTGCAGGCTGACGGCAGGCTCCTGGAAAAGTCTGGCGGAAGGAGAAGCGCGGAGGAGAAGGGCGGAGGCTTCGCAGAGTCAGCGGCAGCAGCTGCAGCAGCAGCAGCAGCAGCAGCGTCAACAGCGGCGGCAGCAGCAGCACCGTTAGCAGCAAGGGAGTGAGATGCGGACGCTGTGTAGAGGCGAGAGGCGGAGAACCAGCTAGCGGCGGCACAGAGGCCGCCCGCTCGAGAGGTGCTGCGCTCCACGTGGCCGATCACCATTGCCTGGGAAGGACGGGGGAGAGAGGAGGAGAGAGGCACGGCGAGAAAGGGAACGCGGAGGAAGCACGGGAGGAGGCACGGGAGGAGGCACGGGAGGAGGCACGGGAGAAGGCACGGGAGGAGGCACGGGAGGAGGCACGGGAGGAGGCACGGGAGGAGGCACGGGAGGAGGCACGGGAGGAGGCACGGGAGGAGGCACGGGAGGAGGCACGGGAGGAGGCACGGGAGCGATTCGGAGAATGAGAGAAGATTCGGGGCAACTGAAGACCAAATCTCGGGCAGAAACGAATAGCTTGACGCATGCAGCTCCCATCGCACTCTCATTTGACGCATCCCTCTCATATTCATTTGACACGTCTCACCCTACCTTGACACAATAGCCTAGATCGGAAAAGCCCCGCCTTCAAAACAGTCACACTCCGTACTCTCACATTCAATCCTCCCACATTTGATACGCTCGCCTTCGATTCTCACCTTCGATACGCTCGTCTTCGATCCTCTCACATTCGATACCCTCACATTCGGTTCTCTCACATTCGGTTCTCTCACCTTGCCCATGGCCATGGCTCGCTGCAGCAGAGGCTTCAACAGGTGCCTCCAGATCCGATCCTCCGTCGCCGAGTCATCGCCACGGCTTTCGTCGCTGTTACCGCCACGGCATATCTTCGCCGAGTCGTCGCCACGGTTTATGTCGCTCAAACTGGCTGAACCCGGAGCACGTGACGCTTCCGAGGGGTTTCGACCATTCGGACATGTCACAACCGATACAAGAACAATAATTAGTACGTCAGCATTGACCTCAAGCTTGGACGGCGGAGCGGAAGAGTGGTTTCTTTGCTGCCGCTGGCGATGCTGCTGCGCCTGAGGGGACGCAGCCAGCGTCAGCACTTGCTGAAGAACCGACCAGGAAGCTTCTAAAGCATCCTTGAACTCGGAAGCCTCGGAGACCCATCCTGGCACCTCTACGAGCCACATTGTCGGCGACTCGGCGCCGGTAGGGACTTCAAATAATCCCAGCCAATCGCTTGCAAATACTAATCGCTTGCAAAACTTGCTGAAATCTAATTGCTACTACTAAGGTCGCCTATGCCATGCGCGGTAGATTTCTATGTCGGCTTTCTCTCTTTGCCTACTCTTTGCCGCATCGGATCACGCTTAAGTCGTATGGCATTGGAAACTTAGAATAACAATCAACCATGAGAATCACGGATGTAGCGCGGTGAGAAACGATGGCCGAAAATTCATAAGAACTTCGCGGAAGTAAGCCAAATTGTCCCTCTACGCGTCCTGAGGAGGACATAATCGACAGGTTCGCACGGTCACCGAACCAGGTACGCCAGAGGCGCTTTCCCCTTCCGCACGCATTCTCGACTGCATACACGTGTACTAATTATCACGTCAACCCTCTCTCGATCAAGTCGCGTTGGGTGGTTGCTTGCTTCAGAACTTGGTGCATTGCTTTGGTCCCATGACTCCATCCCATCCCATTTTCATCATCCCACTCCATCCGCGTCACGTCACAGCCCATTTGAGGTAGGGAGAAGCCAGCAGAATGAATGGGAACCTCAGAATCGCAGAATCCGCGACGATACAGTGCTGTTCATACAATAATGACGAACCATGAAGGAGTGAGTGAAGCTGTGAAGCAGCGAGGTGAGGGTGAAACTGAAGCAGCGAAGCGAAGCAGCGAAGCGAAGCAGTGAAGCAGTGGATGAAGCAGTGAAGCAGTTACATTCCCTGGGTCAGTTATCTTCCGTCAGGGTCTGAGCCGAGGAAACGATTCAGGGCGGTTCTGGAGCGAGTGTCAGACCCGAGGCAGACCCGTGGTCGAAGGAGCCGCGGGCTGTCAGAACCTAACTGCGAGTTTTATATTCTTGACGGTGCAGCCGCTGCACAGTCGCGAACAGTCGCAAAAGGAGGGTTACGATTACAATGGCCGAACTTTGCGAACCCAGCAGAAAATTACGAGTTCCTGATTGGTGGAAATTCATTTGCGCGATATTATTAGTTCTTCGGTTTGTCAGCTGACTGGCTAGAGCTGTCAAGTTTTCGCAAGACCTTAGGCAAATTTTTTCCAGCCTCGGATCTTAGGGCACCACCCGAGGGTCTAATACTCGCTCCAGAATCCTCCCTAGAAGCTACCCAAATCAAGTCGTTAGCCGGGGATCACCACCACAGAGAGTCATGAACACTCCGAATCATGCTGGAGGCCGTATTCATTCGTACTCGAGCCAACCACATCCTTTGGTTCCTCTGCCCAAAATGAGTTTAGAGTTGATGCCCCCCGAAGAACAACCAGGTTCCTCCTGGAGGTTAAATTTTAGGGCTGCCCAGAAACGATGTGATTGGCCTGATCACTAATGAGAGAATACGGCTTCCGGCATGATGCGTGTCCCGGGGGTACATTTCTAGCCCAACACCTTACCCAACCGTTTCACACCGTCATTTAAATATTTTGACATGAAGAGCAACCTACCCAACGCCATCAAACGTACGCGCGGGACACGCCCTGCTAGGGGGCATTCCTGTGTCATCCCAACTTCGGAGATGCGGAAAATGATGTTCCCTTGGTTCCCTTGGCTTGCCAGCAGTGAAAGCCAAGAGCACCCACTCACCCCCCAACGAAAGCCAATGCCAAACCTGAGAAGACCAGGACCAAGCAAATGCCTAGTCAATTTTTACACTTGTCCTCCGCCAATTTCTCTGGCGGCAACTTCTCATGTTTTGTCGCTTCTTCTGACCAGCTGCCAGGTCCTGCTCAAAAGTTTATGGGAAAGGTTCTGTTCAGTTCGCCATGTCAGCTACCTGCTAGGCATTATCGCGGAATCTCCGGCATGTGGGGCATTGCGATGAGTCGATGAGGATTTTACCCTTCTCACAACCGTACGATTTCTCAAAGCTGCTGAGTCAGCTGGATTTTTTGTGGGCAGCAGGACCTCCAGAATGGTTCTTTTTCGAGAAATTAGCGCCAACTCACTGGTTGGCGCTAATCTCTCCACCTCCCACTAACGACAAGCTACAGTTCTAATAGCGACAAGGTACAGTGAACTGATAAAATGACGGAGGACAGGTGTATAAGCGAAGCTAGAGTCGTGAAGGGGAAGATCTGCCAAACGACCCAACTGAACGAGTGGCTGGCGGCGCGGAACGTCATTCCCAAAGATTCCAGATTCTTGAACCTTCCCCCAAGGGAACCCAACCAACCCAGCGAGAAGCGGCGAGTCGGTCGGTGACCCTCGGGGAATTCTGTGTCCGCGCCCGTAGGCCAGGCCACTCTTCTACGCAGCCGCATTCTGCCCGATCTGACCTGGCCAAGCTTCAGGTCAGGCACCAAATTGACGTCCGTGTCCGTCTGTCCATCCCCGGCCAACCAGCGCGTCGTCGTAATCATTGCGGCCCACTTTGATGCCCTCAAAATCTGGAGGGTGTACCCTCCGCGTGGCAGTCGGTGAATAGAGCTGACAGAGCCAGTCCGCTAATTTGAAAAGTTGTTCACCTTACAAGCATGCCATCTTGTTATTTGTCGATGAGATGCATTATAACAAGTTACAATGAATAGCAGCTACATTGGTAGATGAAGCATGTCGAGTTTGTTTCGTTGGATGTCACTGAATAGCCTGACAGTACTGAAATTTTAGGGTTTGAGTGCTGTACCTGCACCTTTTAGTATGGTACCCATAACTGATATTTCTTGGTTTCGTTTCGATCCCTTGATTGTTGTATCACAGAGCCAAAGAGCGTGCCCCTGTATCGCGCGATGAAGCGTACTACGGCCAATACCAGATTACTGGTTCTCACCAACCTAAGGGTATTTCAGCCCTTGAATCCTGTTGAACCAGCCACTGAACCAAAAAAATGACCTGTGAGCAGCAGCACCATCACCCTTCTCCATGCTCGCTCCTTCTCCCTTTGCCCGAGCACTACAGGTACTGGTACTGGGACCGAGCCACCACCACCACCATCAGCACCATCACCACACGCGGGACCAGCACCAACGCTGCCACCACTATCGCTAACTTGCAGAACCGGCACCACCACATAAAAATACCATACATTTAGGAAGACTGGTTGTGAGAGGGTGACAGCAGCACCTGTTCACCCCCTCACCCTTGCAGCAGCTTGTCCAGGTGTACTTTGAGGCGACTCAAAACACACCTAGAAAGACCGTGTTGTGAGACGGCGATGGCAGCAACCTGTTCCCGCCCCTGACCCCTGAAGCAGCACCTGCAGAAGCACCTGTCCCCTCTCCTGTGCCCATAGTCCGTGTTACGCGCCACTAACACCGCTGGTTGACCTGGCACCAGCAGCCGAGCCATCACCAGCACCAGAACCAGCTTCAGCAGCAGCAGCAGCAGCACCACTAGCGGACACACCAGCACCAGCAGCAGCACCAGAAACAGAGCCAGCGGCAGCAGCACCAGCAGCGGCACCAGCTGCTCCTGCGCCGGGCCCTTGAAGCAGCTCCGGCTCCAAGCACTGATAAAACAAGAAGTACCCGTGGTCCGTGTTGCTCGAGTAATCCTGCGACGACCCAAAGTACGTCTGAACCAGCGATTCGTCGATCTGCTCCACATTCTCATCATCAAAGAACAGCCAGTGGTTGTGGCTCTTCACCAGAGCCACATAGTGCCCGTGGTTCGGCCCGCTACCGACGTGCACGATCACTGCGAAGAGGGAGTACTCGGCCTCGGCGCCGGGCGCGTCGTCCACTGTGTTGCAGAGGCGCAGGCGGAGCGGGAAGACGACGCGGTACGCGAGCTTCTTGTAGCGGCCGAGCTGCTCCATGTACTTGAAGCGCTTCAGGTGCAACGCTAGCACGCGCGGCGGCACTTTGATGCGCATCCGCTTCTGTGCCTCCTGGAGACTGGGGGGCGGGGAGGGGGGAGAGGAGGGAGGCATGGAAAAAGAGTGCAAAAAACAGGAGTTGGGGGGGGAGCAAACGAGTGTGGGGTGCAAGGGAGGCAGGGAAGGGGGGGAGGGGGAAGACGACGCGGTGGTCAAGCTTCATGTAGCGGCCGAGCTGCTCCATGTACTTGAAGCGCTTCAGGTGCAGCGCTAGCACGTGCGGCGGCGCATCCGCTTCTGTGCCTCCTGGAGACTGCTTGTTTGGTGGGGGGGGGAGGGGGAGGAGGAGGAAGGGTGGGGGTATATGGTGGGGAACAAGGTCCTAATTCAAGCACCTTGATGCACTAGGGGACACTCTTACCTGCTGCACCACCCTGCAAGGCACCACACTCTCACCCGTGCTGGCGAACTCCCTCATGCTGTAGGTGATTTTCGAGAATTCTCAAACATCTCTCGCACTTGCCGCACCGCCCTACAAGGCACCACACTCTCACCTGTGGTCCCTACAACATGCTGTGTTTCGAGTCGACTCTAACTGCCCCTCACCCCACCTGCAGCAAGTGTCGCGTCACAGAAGACTCACAGAAGACAAGTGGCACCTGTCGTTGCCGCTGGGAGCCTCAGTGGAGGAGAAGCCGCACAGGCAGCTGGTGGCGCTGCTGCTGCTGACAGCTGGCGGCACTCTCACCACCTGAACGGGCATATGAGGCGGCGACCTTATTATATCGATAGCACCTTGTGGCATGCTCTCATCTGCAGCAGGTATCACAAAATAACTTGTCGTTGCCGTTGAGCATCTCTGTCGACGAGAAGTTGCGCAGGCAGCTGGTGACTGGAGGCACCGCATGGCCCTTGAAGGCACCGCACTCTCTCACCTGGGGCACCTTACAACAAGCTCACCTGCAGCAGGTATCACAAAATAACTTGTCGCTGCCGTTGAGCATCTCTGTCGACGAGAAGTTGCGCAGGCCGCTGGTGACTGGAGGCGCCGCATGGCCCTTGAAGGCACCGCACTCTCTCACCTGGGGCACCTTACAACAAGCTCACCTGCAGCAGGTATCACAAAATAACTTGTCGTTGCCGTTGAGCATCTCTGTCGACGAGAAGTTGCGCAGGCAGCTGGTGACTGGAGGCGCCGCATGGCCCTTGAAGGCACCGCACTCTCTCACCTGGGGCACCTTACAACAAGCTCACCTGCAGCAGGTATCACAAAATAACTTGTCGCTGCCGTTGAGCATCTCTGTCGACGAGAAGTTGCGCAGGCAGCTGGTGACTGGAGGCACCGCATGGCCCTTGAAGGCACCGCACTCTCTCACCTGGGGCACCTTACAACAAGCTCACCTGCAGCAGGTATCACAAAATAACTTGTCGCTGCCGTTGAGCATCTCTGTCGACGAGAAGTTGCGCAGGCAGCTGGTGACTGGAGGCGCCGCATGGCCCTTGAAGGCACCGCACTCTCTCACCTGGGGCACCTTACAACAAGCTCACCTGCAGCAGGTATCACAAAATAACTTGTCGTTGCCGTTGAACATCTCTGTCGACGAGAAGTTGCGCAGGCAGCTGGTGACTGGAGGCGCCGCATGGCCCTTGAAGGCACCGCACTCTCTCACCTGGGGCACCTTACAACAAGCTCACCTGCAGCAGGTGTCGCAGAAGAACTTGTCATTGCCGTTGAGCGTCTCGGTGGAGGAGAAGTTGCGCAGGCAGCTGGTGACGCTGCTGTTCTGCTCGATGTCGAGCGACAGATCTAGAAACGCCTCGTCCCGCGCAGTCACTGTCTCACAGCACAGGCACCGAGTCTCATTGGTTAAGGTGCCCTGAACACAAGGGCCGGGGGTGAGGGTAAGGGGTAGGGGAGCGAGAGGGCGAGGTGAGAAGTTGTGCAGGCAGCTGGTGCAGGCAACTGGCATGTCGAATGCTCAGAGTAACAGCGCCTCGATGGAGGAGAGCGCAGGCAGCTGGTGCAGGCGCCTCGATGGAGGAGAGCGATGAAGGGAAATGAGAAGGGGGTGGAGGAAGGAGCAAGCTTTGAGAACGGCAGGCATTTGAATATTCAGACTAAATGTCAAGGGCCAATGGGTTAAAAAATAAAAATAAAAATAAAATCAGATGTCACTTAGGGCCTCATTTCGGAATCCTAAGCTATGGTGCTGTGAGCTTAAAGCGCGGGTCTCGAGAAGCAAAAAACCAAATCCAAAAGGTTTGGTTTTGGGTTGACGAAATTAGCGAAACAGTAACAACGCCCAACTAGCACCCCCACCACACCTCGCAATTTTCGAGATCCCCCGAAACCAAAACCTTTGGGTTTGGTTTTTGCTTCTCGAGACCCTCGCTTTAAGGGGTCAGGTTGAGGACTTGAGAGGGCCGTGCAACGAAGTTGAGAGTCGAGTCATCATGGGATACAATTCACCTGGAATATCTCATGCACCCATGTTACCACCATGGGTTTTGCCCCGTTGGCAGCCCATCCTAAATCCCACGCTCAGCAGTGCGTGCAGCACTCCTCACCCCAGCATTAGTATTTCAACACATGCACACGCACACCTGGAATATCTCGTGCACCCATGTTACCACCATGGGTTTCGCCCCGTTGGCAGCCCCGCCACCAGCACTCCCAGCAGCCCCTGCTGCAGGTGCTGCTGCTGCTGTACTTCCAGCTGACGCATTCCCCCCTGCTGCTGCCGCTGCACCCCCAGTAACTGCTGCAGCCCCAGTAGCCGCACCATCCGCTGCCGCCGCACTCCCTCCCCCACCCTCACTCTCCCTCCCCTCCCGCGCTCCCTCACTCCCTCTCGCCCCTCCCAAATCATCCCCAGAGCCCGCAGCAGGAGTGGCAACAGCAGCACCAGAAGCAAAGTTGGAGGACGAAGCAGCAGGGGCAGCACCAGAAGCAGCAGCAGGAGCAGCAGCAGGGAGGTTGGGATCGATAATTCTCCCCGCCTCTGCTCTGCCTGCGCGCGCCTCCTTCTCAAGGATGTCCACCAGCTCGTTGAGCAGGAAGTTAAGGAACTCATGGGCGTCCTGGCGTCACGTTAGGCAAGGCGGAAAGGAGGGAAGGGGCGGACACATGGCATGGCACATTTCAACTCAACATCTTTCTGCCTGCCGCCACGTGCCTCCTTCCCTGGAATGTCCACCAGCTCGTTGAGCAGCAAGTCGAGGAACTCGTGGGCGTCCTGGTGTGGTGTGGACAAGGGGTGTGGCACGGGTGAGACAGACAGGCTATGATGCCTCTGCTCTGCCTGCGCATGCCTCCCTCTCTAGAACGCCCACAGGCTCGTTGAGAAGGAAGTTGAGGAACTCGGGGGCGTCCGGGTGTGCATACGAGGGGAAGGACAGGGATGGACAGGGATTACACACTTCTCCCGGCCTCTGCTTTGCCTGCGCTGCGCGCGCCTCCCTCTCGAGAATGTCCACCGCCCACGAGCCCGTTGAGCAGCCAGGTGACGAATGCGTGGGCGTGCTGCATCAGAGGGGTTATGAGCAGGGGGGAGGGAAAGGAAGAAAAGGGAAGGGGCAGGGCAGGTGGGCGTCGTGCATCAGATGGGGAAGGGAAGGGAATGGCAGGGGAAAGAGCAAGGCATGGAAAATCTCAGCATCGATAACTCTCCCGCCCGACCTCTACTCTGCTTGCATGTGCATGTGCATCGCATGTGCATGTGCATGTGCATCGCATCGCATGTGCATGTGCATGTGCATGTGCATCGCATGTGCATGTGCATGTGCGGTAAACCAACAATGCCAACACGCCCTCTTTTTTCTACATGTCCATGAGGGCATTGGGCAAGCAGCCGCGGAAGTCATGTGCATGCGTGGCTCCCTCTCCCGGCGTCTACTCAGGCGACTTTCGAGTCGACTCAAAATTCACCTCAACAAAGCCGTTGGGCAGAAAGCTGCGGAACTCGTGTGCGTGCCCAACACGAGTCCTCAAATGGGGGAGCTTCTTTTTTGTGTTCGCATATCTTGCACTGCCGACAAGCAGCAACCTGATGGCACATATGTTTACTCCAATGTGTAACGTCTCCACTAGTCTGGAGTTTCGTCCCAACAATGAGTGTGAGAATTCTATCAAGCCAAGCAGTTCCGACGACCAGTCTGAGTGAGTCTAAATTACTTGACTTGAAAGGATCCTCACACTCGTCGTTGGGACGAACCTCCAGACTAGTGGAGACGTCAGACATTGGAGTAAAAATATGTGCCTGCAGGCTGTCGCATGTCAGCAGTGCAAGATATGCGAACACAAAACGAAGCTCTCAGCAGTGCAAGACATTGGGAAGGAAGCCGCGGAACTCATGTGTGTGCGTGAGTCCTTCTCCCCGCGTCTACTCACATCTACTCACATTGACATACAAGTGGTGATACGGCCTTCTGATCCACAACTACGCATGCACCTGCACCGGATTTTCACCTGGTGTAGATTTTTCACCTGGTGGATAAATTTCGCATGATTTTTCGCCTGGAGCATGAATCTTCGCCTGGTGCATGAATCTTCGCCTAGTGCATGTACTTGCAACCCACCTGATGCATGTAGCTGCGAAACAGCTCCTTCTGCTTCTTCACCTGAAGCCTGCCCATCTTGTTTTTCTGTGTACCAGGAGCATGGCTACTCTTCTCCTAGTGTAGGTTACTCACCTGGTGCATGTAGCTGCGGAAGAGCTCCTTCTGCTTCTTCACCCGCTGCACGAAGCGACGAGGGGCAATGACCCCCGTCTTGCGCTTCTGCGAGTTGATCTGCCACAGCATGTAGAGAACCGGGGAGTAGGGAGACAGGGAGGGGAGTGGGAAAAGGATGAGGGCGAGGAGGAATGACCCCTTTCTTGCACTTCTAGGGGTTGACCTGCAGTGGAGCGTGCAGTGAGGGGGAGAGATGGCTATAAGGAGATGAGGAGGGATAACAGAGGACGTCCGACAAAGGACTGCACGCACCACTGGTGATTCCTGGGTCAACTCAAAAATCATCAGTGGTTAGGCAAGGGGGAGAGAGGGCAAACAGGAAAGGAGGAAGAAAGGCAAGAGGACGCGGATTGATACAGGGTCATCTTATAACGAAGCTGAGGCACACCTGACGGATACCTGGGGAACATCAAGGGCGCACGCGAAACATACCTGAGGATACCTGAGAGACAACCGAGGCACAGCTGACGAAACTGAAAAAAACACCAAGGGGGCAGGCGAGACATACATGAGGACACCTGAGGGACACCTGAAAAGACACCTGAGGGGTTACCTGGGGAACATGTAAGCCTACCTGGTTAAACAGCTCTGTCAGAAAGTTGAGAAGCTGACAGCCTGATAGGAGACCCTTCGTTGGCTGGGAGCAGAGTGCAAACCCGGGCAACAGCGGCGGCCTACCTGGTTGAAAAGTTCAGCAAGGCACGTGAGAAGAGTCTCCTCGGACTCGTTGGCTGGCTTGTGCTTGGCGTAGTAGTCCAATAGGTGCTCGCGAAACGGCACACAGAAATACAAGGCCTGGATTGGATTGGATTGGATTGGATTGGATTGAGTCGAGTGGTGTTGATAATGAAGCACGCACTAAAGAGAGAAAGACGGGGTGACTGACTGGGAGCATCATCAGTAGGGATACTGTAAACATGCACAAATTCTGGAGATCTGCAGCACGAGTATTAGCTTGCAAGAACTGCTGAGCTCTACCAGTGCTCTACCTGTGCCGTACCTGTGCCCTACCTGTGCCCTACCTGTGCCCTACCTGTGCCCTACCTGTGCCCTACCTGTGCCCTACCTGTGCCCTACCTGTGCCCTACCTGTGCCTTACCTGTGCACTACCTGTGTCCTACCTGTGCCCTACCTTTGCCCTGCCTGTGCCGTACCTGTGCCCTACCTGCAGCATGCTCTTGCAGTAGCACACGTTGCCTCGACACCTGATAGCATGAGCAACCTGCAAACCGCTCATCACCTGCAAACCGCTCATCACCTGCAAACCGTTAACCACCTGCAAGCCGTTTACCACCTGCAAACCGTTCACCACCGAATTGGGACCTACCTGCAGCACGCTGTTGCAGTAGCACGTGTTGCCAAAGTTCTCGAGCCCAAAGTAGCGCTCCAATTCTGGAAGGCATCGCCCAGCACCCTTTCCAGCCTCGACCCGGATACCCTGGTTATCGTGTTGAACACCCACAAACCGTTCACCACCGGATTAAGCCCCACCCACCTGCAGCACGCTGTTGCAATAGCACGTGTTGCCAAAGTTCTCGAGCCCAAAGTAGCGCTCCCCTTCTGGGAAAGCATCCCCCAGCGCTCTCTCCAGCTTCGACCCAGACCCCCCGATGATGGTGTTGAACACCTGCACGGCACAGGGAAAGGGATTCACAACAGAATCATCCGAAGCAATCAGGGCTCTTTCCAGCTTCGGCCCGGATCCCCCAATGATGGTGTTGAACATTTGACCACACAGCAAAGGGATCCGATACTGAATTACCGGAACCAATCAAGGCTCTACCCAGCTTGCATCCGAACCCCCCCCCCCCCCCCCAGTGATGGTGTTGAACAAATGAGCCCCGTGGAATGGGATACGGCACCACATCACACGAACGAATCAGGAATGTGTGGCATTCAGCAATCCACAGCAGCAGCAGCAGCAGCAGCAGCATCTTGTCTCCCTGACTCACCCTGGCCAGCATGATGCGCGCTGCTCGGCGAACCAGGAAGCGGAAGTAGAGGAAGAGATACACGAGGCCTGAAAAGGCCGGGAAAAGGCCGTCGACTCGCTCCGTCGCCGCCAAACCAGGCTTTTTATCTCAGAAAGGAGGAGCTAAATCTACCGCTTCTCGCGCGGAAGTAGCGGAAGAAATACGCGCGCCGCCTGGAAAGACCGGGAAATACGCCTCGATAGCTCCGTCGCCGCCAAACCACGCCTCTTGCACAGAGGACGAGCTCGCCCTGCCGTTTCTCGCGTGAATTGTGCCGAAATTCGTGAAACTCGGTTTACTCTGAGATGTCCCTGAAACGTGTGCCACGTGTGCAACGTGTGACACGTGGAATCTGCTGTCAAAGCAGCGCAACGGTCAAAAGTCAACGGTCAACGGTCAAAAGTGAGATGCATCCTAGGGAAAAGACGTACAGCCCAATACTGACGGAATCACAGGCCGAAAAACTACAGAGCTGCTGGAACGGCTCGACGAATTCATCAACACCGGGAGGCGTCGCGGTCGCGAAGGCTTTTGAGAAATTGCGAAGGCCTAGCAGGAAGCCAATAAAAAGGCGGTAACGAAGCGTCGCATCCGCATCAACTCGACATGTGTTGCGACAGCGTCCAGATTAGGCCTGATCAACGCTGAATCGCAGGTAGGTAATCCACAGCGGACGCCCTTCACCGTCAGCTGCTGCAGAAATCTAGGAATCTTGAAATCAGGGAATCCATCCAGTGATGCTTCACTGATGATCGCTGGAACACTGTTGGGTGGGTCTAGGAGGAGACAGAGGAGCACATATAATGCGATAAGGAATGCCTCGATTGTACTACGACACTGATTTTATGCGGTAATAAAGACAAGACGCTTTAGGTTCTTAATTATACCAATTTCCTAAATTAGAATACCAAATGAAATCCGTAAGTTAATAAGGATCTCACCTAGTTAATCTAGCGCCAGGCAGAGAAAACCCATTTTACATCTAATATTCCACAATTACACTCATCAATCGAAGAAAGTCCGCACAAGCACAAGCTTATTGAAACTAACACGCCGTGGTGGCAGCGGTGGCGACTGAGACGCACGCCGGGACCTGCTTCCATCGCAGCTGCTGCTCCGAAGGCTAGAGGCCATCCGGCTTATCATCCTTGGAAGCGAGCCGTCAGCATTTTCAGTCGCCGTGCTCTTTGTGGTAATCCCAGTGGCGCTCATGGCTTTCACTATGACACTCTTTGAAGTCCCACTGATGCAAGCTGCTGCTGCTGCTGTGTGAGATGCTGCAGCCGAGCCCACCGGCTCAGGAGAGAGGGCTGAAGGGGCTGATGCCGACGAGCGAGGGAACGGTGCTGATGGTGATGGGGAGGCAGAAGAGGCGTCACTGACAAGAGAACTCATGGAGTATGTACCAGCATGGGGTGATGATGCGTTGGGTGTTGCATGGGGTGTTGCATGGGGTGATGCATGGGGTGATTGCTGCCCAGCAGTGCTCGCTCGTATCCCGTAGGGCGACTGCACAGCAGTGTACACTCGTCTGAAGGGCGGCGAGAGAGTCTCTTGTGGCGATGTCCTCTCCACTGCAGGCTGCTCCATCACTGCTTCCATGGATCGCATGCGCCGGTGCCGGACCGAGCGCCGCCGTCCCATGGATTCAGCATGACTCTGACACGGTAAGCCCAACATACTGCAAGCAGCACTGCTGGCACTGCCAGCGCTTCCTTGGTTGACCGACCTTTCTAGTGCAGGCTGCTCCATCAATGCTTCCATACTTCGCATGCGCCAGTGCTGGACCAAGCGCCGCTGTCCTGCCACTTCTGTACTGTGACTCTGATGTCGTCGCCCCATGGCTTCCGCATGAGGCGGTGAAGTGGCAGCAGCAGCAGGTGCAGTGGGCAGTGGGGGAGAGGGGGTTGTACGAATATCCCCGTTATTAGCACCATCCAGTATCCGTTTGTTAGACAGTGACACCTGATTGCCGTCAACTCCGGATCCCGCCGAAAGCTCGCGAAACCCGCTGAACGAGTGGCGGCGGCGCTGGCGGAACCCGAGCGCCGCGCTGGAGGCTCCCAGCGGCGGACTCTGCGGAGGTGTGGGGCGGAGGAATGTCCCCGCGCCAGTGGCTGTCCGCACGCCCGCCGTTGCTCTTGGCGCATCTGCACGCGTAGCGGCGGATTTCCCCGCGCCACTGGGGAGAGCTGTTTTCTGAGACGTCAGTCCCTCAAAATCCGGAAAATTTACGGACGGGACGGGGCTGATCGAGGTCATTTCAACGGTCGAGATTCTCCCAGGCGCGGCGGGGGCGGCCGTCCCTGCTGTCGGCGTCGGAGCAACATCCACTGGCAGGAGGGGCGCGCTCGACGGGCCGCTGCCGAAACTCGACATCGCAGCCGTCGACTGCAGTCCTCCCGACAGATATAGGCCGTCGATTCCGACTGCAGGCTGGGAAGCCGGGCCGCACGCCTGGTGGCGGCGAGTTGGAGCTACAGCGAGCATTTTGAGGAATAGACGAAACGGTAACGGTAACGTTGACGGTAGCGGATGCTCTTTCGGTTGGAACCGCAGGCTGGTATGAACTCGACGGAACTTGCCCTTCAGGGAAAAAGGACAGGCAGCAACTCCTCCCAAGAGAAAGAATTAGGGAACGGGAATCCTTCGAAGGTTGCAAAGGTGGTTGAAGAACGAATATCCTCCGAGAGGTCTAAGTTGAGCTGAGGGAAGGAACTGCTCGAAAGGGAGCTGTGGTGGCTCAGCTTATGAGCTCTGGTGGCTGAAGCTCGAGTAATGACAGGCGGAGGAGAGGAACGGCAGGAGACGAAGGGGCAAACGGAGACTGCTTCTGAGCTAACGACACCGCGTCACGTCGGTTCGGTTCACTTGTGTCGCTTCGGGAAAAAGGGCAGAACGGTCCTCGACGAATGATGCAGGCCTCTTTATCCTCCCACCCAGTGGGGAATGAGTCCTCCCTTTGCAACAGCCTGCTGAGAGGGTGGGATCACGGGGCGCGAGCGATGTGCTCGGCTCCACGGAAGTGAGCGGCTAGCAGCAGACACTGTAATATTATACGACTGACGAAACAAGGTCGTTCTTTTTTCCGAGTCTGTCGTACTAAAGGACTAAAGAAGCAAGATCGTCGTTCCCTCTGTCGTACAATACGACTGAAGATGCAGCATCGCCGTTCTCATAATGTTCTGATAATGCTACCAGTTGGGACACATGGGGATTATGATGGCTCAAAGCTGCACCGGAGCTGGTTTGCGACTCGGCTGCTGATGCAGATGTGTGGAAGCTGCGGTTGGGGAGAAAATCGGCACCGTCGATTCGCACCGCGCTTGAAGGGGTGTTGTATATGCAGGAGATAGTCTCTTTCTTGTTACCTCGGAGGTCACTGGGCGACAGTTTGGAGACAGGGTAGGCAGGAATGCCACGCAGCAGAACGCTTTCCAATTCGCTGCGGACAATTGTGCGAAGGGTATCTTGGATAGCTTCCCGAAGCTCCATAGTCAACATTTGGAACTGCAACAGAATCTTTCAACTGCGACGCTAGGAAATAAGGACCGATCCGGTAAGCTGGCAAACAGCAAGCTTGCTCAGCTGTAAGGACTGCTAAAATCGCCTCGGTTCACTTTTATGCGGTTTAGTACGTTGCTTCGCGTTCTGAAAGGTTTACTTGTTTTGTAACTCGGTTTCGTAAGGTGGGTAAGTTCAACAAGCTCATACAACTCGCTGGAAAGGTCAGGTGGTGATGGCGAGGTGGGGTGAGGGGGGGGTGAGGCATGGCTGGGAATGGAGGACACACTTGTTTTCGGGTAGTGTTATGGCTGCCCGGGGTGGGCAGACTTCTACTACGCAAACCATTGACTCCAGCAGTCCGGAACTTGCATCATTCTCTCACAAAACTACCCCATTTTCTAGACCTGATATTGGTATCGTCTACGCACTCAGCCCTCAACGTAGCCCAAATCTCTCAAAACGTTTTCGATTAATCCATACAAACGATTCTCGTGTGAAGTGTGGGTTTGTCATTAGAAGTGTGGGGGATGCCAGCTCTGCGGAGATCTTTGTAAAGCTTCCCCCACACATGCCGAAAATACATTCTTGATTGGTTACCCAAAAAGAAAGCCTTGCTCGGGCAAGACAGCTCGTAAAACACATCGGGAAATGATCAGAAAGGGTCATCGCTCTGCCAGGGGTGTGAGCAAAAAAGGACCGTCCACCTCTGAACCTGTAATACACTCTGTTTTATTTTTAGTACTTACCAGTAAACGTTTCTCAACCAAACAAGGCTCGACGCCAATGCGTCGTTGGGGTTGCGTAGCAGCTTGATAGAATCCTGAAATGAAAGAGAATTTCTCTCATGCAAATAAATAGGTAAGATATTTCGTTCGTAAGATAAGCTATGTGCAATTGTTTTTCAGATTGGATATAAGCGTGAACATGATTTGAAGCAATTAGGGGATTTTGATGAGAAATGTGTAAACGAGAACAATCCCATGGGTTTTCTACAAATCTCAACGTGAAAAAAATGTTTGGTTGAAAAACAACAGCAAATGGTTATTATGGATGCCTGGCTTGTACTTCTGTATAGCTATTAGAACTCATGCATTTTTTCCGAGACGAGAGGCAAAAGATTTTTACTATCGTGGCTTTTTTTTCAAGTTTGACTTTTTAGTTGCAGTGTTTCATATGGGATGATGGCATGGCATACCGTCAAAATGATTGGTTCATTTTGACGTTGACTATCAAGTTGCACTATGACTCCATCTCTTTTCAAATTTTATTGGAACCTTGAGTTTTTAGTTGCATGAGTACAATATCAGCTGAAGGCGGACTCTAGAGTCGTTGGCTGAATTCCTAAGCAATCTTGGGTAGTTTTTTTTTTCTCCCTTATTAGTTTGTTTCGATCTTGACTGCCGAGTTGCAGTTTGACTGTGCTGTTTGCCAGAACCACAGGCAAAGAACGTTCACTATAGTCGAAATTTCCAAGACCTTGGCCATATATTTGCACGGTGTCAAGCGAAGGCAAGAACGTTCGCTGCACACCTGTTCTCCTATTTAGTCCCACGTTTTTTGCACGCGGCTCGAGCCTGTAAGCAGGAAATAGTAAAACACGAGGAAACGAGACTTTGAATGGGAAATCCGACAGTAAGAAATGACATTTGGTTACGAAATCTCGCTCACGCACTAGATTAGTTGCCTGCGCGACGTCCCAGCTCTGAAACTCACAATTGTCGAAATACAGCAAGGTAGTTCGCTATCGTTCAGACTGCAGCCAAATAGGTTCAGTGTCAACGTGAGTCATGCCGAGAACCTAGTAGGTGAGATTAAAAATTTGGACTGTTCTGGGTGGGACAATAGAGGGGAAAAGGTGTAGTCAACTCTCCCTACCACCTTCAAGATTCTTCCCCGAAGAACTTCTTCCCTATCAGAGTTCCCTTCTCGCTGGCTCCTCTAGCACTTCAAGATTCTTCCCCGAAGTACTTCTTCCCTACCACAGTTCCCTTCTCGCTGGCTCCTCTAGCACTTCAAGATTCTTCCCCGTTATCGTGGTTTAGCACCCAACCTCAAAGGTATTGCGGGTTGCTAGTTGTCATCCCATCCCTCCTACGCTCTCCGCCACGTTATGGCGCTGCGACGTGCTGGCATGCTAGAGGCACAGTGCGCTTTGGCGCCTTGCACACTGGAACTGTGGGCCTTGTGCTGCTCACGCTGGCGCCGTCTGCGGTGACGCCGCGCGTGCTGGCGCTGTCCGCGGTGGCGCCGTCCTCGATGGTCCGGTGCGCTCTGGCGCCGTGCGCGCTAGCGCGGTGCGCAGTGGCACCGTGCGCACGGCCGACGTGTGCAGTGGTGCCGTGCGCTGGCGCCATGCGCGCTGGGCCGGTGCGCGCTGGCGCCGTGCGCGCTGGGCCGGTGCGCGCTGGGCCGGTGCGCGCAGGCGCCATGCGCGCTGGGCCGGTGCGCGCTGGCGCCGTGTGCGCTGGCGCCGTGCGCGCTGGCGCCGTGCGGGCTGCCACCGTGCGCGCCGGGGCTGCCGCCGTGCTCGCCGGTGCCGTGCGCGCTGGTGCCATGCGCTCTCTCCTCTCTCCTCTCTCTTATCTCCTTTCTCCTATCTCTTCTCTCCTCTCTCCTCTCTCCTCTCTCCTCTCTCCTCTCTCCTCTCTCCTCTCTCCTCTCTCCTCTCTCCTCTCTCCTCTCTCCTCTCTCCTCTCTCCTCTCTCCTCTCGCCTCTCTCCTCTCTCCTCTCTCCTATCTCCTCTCTCCTATCTCCTGTCTCCTCTCACCTATCTCCTCTCTCCTATCTCCTCTCTCCTATCTCCTCTCTCCCATCTCCTCTCTCCGCCCCACGCCTCCCTCCTTCCCCGATCCTGCCCCTACCGCGTCTCTCCTCACCCTCTCAGGTCAATGCTTTCAACCTCGCAGCAGCCAGCAGTGTGATTCGGTGCGACACTCTGTGCCTTGCCTTTTCTCCGCCCCACACCCTCCTCCTTTCCTTACCCTGCCTATCCCTACCGTGTCTCTCCTCACCCCCTCAGGTGAATGCGTTCAACCCAGCAGTAGTGGGCAACGTAATGTGCCACAACCTTATCAACATTGACTGGTGCGTGTGTATGGGCATGGCATGCCTGGCTGTGTGCGTGTATGGGCATGGCATGCCTGACTGTATGTGTATATGGGCATGGCATGCCTGGCTGTGTGTGTGTATGGGCATGGCATGCCTGACTGTATGTGTATATGGGCATAGCATACCTAGTTGTATGCATGTATGCGCATAGCATGCATGGCTGTATGCATGTATGGGCATGGCATGCTTGGCTGTATGTGTGTATGGGCATAGCATGCCTGGTTGTATGCGTATATGTGCATAACGTGCCTGGCTGTATGCATGTATGGGCATAGCATGCCAGGCTGTATGTGTGTATGCGCATAGCATGCCTGGCTGTGTGTGTGTATGGGCATGGCATGCCTGAATGTATGTGTATATGGGCATAGCATGCCTGGCTGTGTGTGTGTATGGGCATGGTATGCCTGGCTGTATGTGTGTATGGGGATGGCATGCCTAGCTGTATGTGTGTATGGGCATAGCATGCCTGGCTGTATGTGTGCATAGGCATAGCATACCTAGTTGTATTGTATGCATGCATGGCTGTATGCATGTATGGGCATAGCATGCTTGGCTGTATGTGTGTATGGGCATAGCATGCCTAGTTGTATGCGTGTATGTGCATAACGTGTCTGGCTGTACGCACGTATGGGCATAGCATGCCAGCCTGTATGTCTGTATGGGCATAGCATGCCAGGCTGTATGTGTGTATGGGCATAGCATGCCTAGCTGTGTGTGTGTATGGGCATGGCATGTCTGACTGTAAGTGTATACGGGCATAGCATGCCTGGCTGTGTGTGTGTATGGGCATTGTATGCCTGGCTGTATGTGTGTATGGGGATGGCATGCCTAGCTCTATGTGTGTATGGGCATAGCATGCCTGGCTGTGTGTGTGTACGGGCATAGCATACCTTGTTGTATTGTATGCATGTATGGGCATAGCATGCATGGCTGTATGCATGTATGGGCATAGAATGCCTGGCTGTATGTGTGTATGGGCATAGCATGCCTAGTTGTATGCGTGTATGTGCATAATGTGCCTGGCTGTATGCATGTATGGGCATAGCATGCCAGCCTGTATGTCTGTATGGGCATAGCATGCCTGGCTGTGTGTGTGTATGGGCATGGCATGCCTGAATGTATGTGTATATGGGCATAGCATGCCTCGCTGTATGTGTGTATGGGCATGGTATGCCTAGCTGTATGTGTGTATGGGGATGGCATGCCTAGCTGTATGTGTGTATGGGCATTGCATGCATGTCTGTGTGTGTATGGGCATAGCATACCTAGTTGTATGCATGTATGGGCATAGCATGCATGGCTGTATGCATGTATGGGCATAGTATGCCTGGCTGTATGTGTGTATGGGCATAGCATGCCTAGTTGTATGCGTGTATGTGCATAACGTGCCTGGCTGTATGCACGTATGAGCATAGCATGCCAGGCTGTATGTGTGTATGGGCATAGCATGCCTGGCTGTATGTGTGTCTGGGCATAGCATGCCTAGTTGTATGCGTGTATGTGCATAACATGCCTGCCTGTATGCATGTATGGGCATAGCATGTCAGGCTGTATGTGTGTATGGGCATAGCATGCCTGGCTTTGTGTGTGTATGGGGATGGCATGCCTGACTGTATATGTATATGGGCATAGCATGCCTGGCTGTGTGTGTGTATGGACATGGTATGCCTGGTTGTATGTGTGTATGGGGATGGCATGCCTAGCTGTATGTGTGTATGGGCATAGCATGCCTTGCTGTATGTGTGTATGGGCATAGCATACCTAGTTGTATGTGTGTATGGGCATAGCATCCCTAGATGTATGTGTGTATGGGCATAGCATGCCTAGTTGTATGCGTGTATGTGCATAACGTGCCTGGCTGTATGCATGTATGGGCATAGCATGCCATGCCGTGC